GTGAGAGAGAGGGGGTGGCTCGGTAATACGAGAGAGAGGGGGTGGCTCAGTAATACGTGAGAGAGAGGGGGTGGCTCGGTAATACGAGAGAGAGGGGGGTGGCTCGGTAATACGAGAGAGAGGGGGTGGCTCGGTAATACGAGAGAGAGGGGGGTGGTTCGGTAATACGTGAGAGAGGGGGGTGGCTCGGTAATACGTGAGAGAGAGGGGGTGGCTCGGTAATACGAGAGAGAGGGCCGGTGGTGCTTCGGTTACACATAAAGGAGGGGGTGGCTTGGGAACAAGCGTGCGCGAGAGGGAGAGAGGAGCGATGTCTCGGTAACAGACAGAGAGAGGCAAAATGAACAGGAAACTCATAGGAACGGCGGCAGCAGCACCGAAATCTCCACTAGCCGCAAGAAATGTCTGGAATATGTATATGTATATATACATATACATATATATATAAATATACATGTATATTTATATATAAACATATATATATATATATATATACAAATAAATATACATATATATATATATATATATATTCTGATCGTATTTAGGTATTTAGTGTATTCTATGAGTGGGGGAGTATCATGCATCGAGGCAGCGACGATGCTGCGTGTACGTACGATGAGCTTGCGGTCGTAGACGCCTGCCGTCTGCATGAACGAACCCTCGGTGGTGTTCTGCTGCAGCAGCCAGCCCATCGAGTGCTCAAACAGCCGCGGGTCGATGTAGATCAGGTCGGCCCACTCAGCTGCGCGCGCCGCGCGATGCAAGTAGCGCAGCGTGAACGCTGTCACCCTGAAACACACGTCGCACGCAAACACGCACGGTTAACCAACGTCAAGGTCACGCAAATATACGCGCGGTTAACCTCGGCAAAGGTCACGCAAATATACGCGCGGTTAACCTCGGCCAAGGTCACACAAATATATGCGCGGTTAACCTCCGCCAAGGTCACGCAAATATACGCGCGGTTAACCTCCGCCAAGGTCACGCAAATATACGCGCGGTTAACCTGCCAAGGTCACGCAAATATACGCGCGGTTAACCTCCGCCAAGGTCACGCAAATATACGTGCGGTTAACCTCGGCCAAGGTCGGTGACCCCGTGTCGCGGTCGTCACGCCGCAAGGTCGTGCAACTCTACCCCGGGAACTGTGACCTCGTTCCAAGGTCACCACACTGCTAGGTCACGTGAACACAAGGTTTGAAACCAGTGCGCCATCAGGAGCATTCAGTCGCGCTAGGTTGAGACATTCATCAGGGAGAGTTTAGTTACGACGGACAGTTTCTTACCAAGTCGATGGCTTCAGGTCCTCCATCCAGATGGAGAATCCACCCTCCTCCGTGAAGAAAGACATCTGCCGCTGGTAAACTGTAATGCAAGCACGGTGGTAAGTGATGGTAGGAGGCTTCCAGGACAAGGACGGCAAAGTGACTTCGTAAGGTCTTCAGCAGGTAATCAGCGCAGGTAGGGCAAGCCTGGCAGGCAGGTAGGCCAGGTGGCATCAGGCAGGGAGGCCGGGCAGGCAAGCTGGCAAGCCCAGGTAGCACGGTAGCAGGTAGGCAGGTAGGCTGGTAGGCGTAGGCAGGTAAGGCAGGCTAGGCCAGACTGGCAGGTAGACTGGTAGGCGGTATGACAGGCAGGCAGGCCATGCAGGCACCCAGGCAGGTAGGCAGGTAGCGCCGGTAACGACAGGCAGGCATCAGGCCAGCACTGGCAGCGTCAGGTAAGGCTGCGTAGGCAGGTGTGTGGCGTCCTGTGTGTGTGTGCTGTGTGTGTAATGTGTGTGTGTGTGTGCTGTGTCGTGTGTGTGCCTGTGTGGTGTGGTGGTGTGTGTGTATGTGTGTCTCACATCTGCCACGCATGTTCTCCTCCTCGCCTCCCTCCCTTGCCTTCCTCCTCCTCCTACTCCTTCTCACCTAATGTTGAGCGAATTCATGTCCTCCTAGAGGCCACCATTGTTACCTGTCGATGGGCGATACAGGTAGCTGAAAGTGTCTAGATTCGCCTCCCCCGCTCCCCCCCCCTCCTCCTCCCCTCCCCCTCCCTCCCCTCTCTTCCGTCTTCCAAGCCTATGGTGAAGAAGTTCATGTCCTCTAGGGAGGGCATCCCTTGG